GGATCAGGGCGCTCAGCTGGCTGCAGGAGCTCTGGGTAGTGTGTCTGCGCTGTGGTTTTTCTAACTCCAAGTGGAGTCCCTAGCCCTGCCTGAATGTGCAGAGTTGAAGAATGTGCATTGTTATTTAACATACTTCGCTGGTGAATTCATCTGGGATGTTGCACCCAGTTTTGATTGAGTTTCCATTAGATAATTTTGAGTTGAGCGATGATGTTGCTCTGAGCTAACAGCAAGTCTCTGGGAGTTACTTCCTGGCTGTGAACCCACCTGACAAATGAGGTTGAGTTCAGTGTTGTGCAGGTCTAAAGTTTTGAGTCATCTGAAAGCCTGTATTCCTGCTGATCTGGGATAAAAAACATCATTCCACAGTCCTGAAAAAGCCCTCTGCTCTGACTCTATAACAAGGATAATCTGCGAGCAGAAACCAGACGGCACTAAGTCAACTAAATCTTAATTACCCATGTGGAGACAGGGGATCGGAAATTGCCTTGATCATGTTTCTGCAATTTGAGATTCTGAAGGAATTAAATTTCTTCGCAGCGTTTGTGATGTCTGTTTTTCATGACACTTTTAGCAGTTTTCCTTTTCCAACCTGTGTTTATGTGGCTCAGTTTTGACAGTGTGTTTGTCAACTCAGATTTGTTTTGGTAAATTGGACATTGAGCTTAGTTTCCACAAGTCAGTGGGTATTTGGGGGGGATCAGAGGATGCGCCTTGGGAATCATGGGGGCAGTGGCCGAGGGCAATTGGCACAGACCACCCAGTGCTGGGATCCAAGTTCACTCCTTGGTCTAGTGCCTCGTTAATGTCCCTCAGAGCCACGGCTTTCAAAGGTGGACAAAGCAGGGCACTGGAAGTAAAATTGTCGGTGGCCTGAATGATGCTCTTTTTCATGCACTCCAAACTAGATAAACGATTCTTTTTCACGGAGCGAAGGAGGTGCAGGCATGACACAGAATACATGGAGGGGAGGACTGAGCCGGGGCTACCTTATGATTAAAATGGTGATACCCCCATCAGGGAAATTTGGGGTGCGACCACTCCACAGTGATGTGTGGGCTAGCACCTTCGTGGATGTGCCTATACTCTAGACTACACTTGCTCTGGAGAGTCTGAGTTCTCGGTCACCTCTTGAATACATGGGTGAGCTTCCATACCTGCGGGGTTTGAGCAGGAAGGCTACTCATTGACTACGACTCCGAGTGAAACCGCACAGCGCCTGGCACTTCACGGGGCTGAGGTGCTTCTTCAAGGTGCAGGGTGTTTTCCTGGTCACCAGGGAGGACCAGGAATAAAGTTGCGGAATTCTGAAATGAGCAACCGAGCGGTGGCTTCAGAGGCCGTGACAGTGGCGGTGGGCGATATTTCCTCTGCTGGTCAGTAGTTTTGCCTGTTACTTCCAGTGAGGGCGAGAAGGTGAATCCAACAGACACGAACGCCTTCAATGCTGCCTCCCGGCCCCTGCCCAAGCACAGGCCTACCCCGGTCTCCATGAAGCCCAGTGCCTTTCTCCTTCTCCTTCAGTCTGTTTCCTTTCATGTTCTGTACCTCAGGCCAAAGAAAGGCCTTCCGGGACGAAGACTGCGCTGGGAGGATGATCCCCGGCCCAGAGGGAGCGGAAAGCCATCTGTCATGGAACCGGGTCAGGCAGATACCTGGGCACACGGGTGCCAAGGCCGTGCGTCTCTACCGTCTCACTCTCCGCTTTTCCCGTCCGCTGCTCGTTTTCCTTAACCCCAGAGGCAAGCGGCGCTTGTCTTCTGGTCTCACCGTGGAGGAGCCAAGGGGGAGGAGGTCATTCGGCTCAGGCCGCCACTTGGAATTGGCCTCAAGTTCGGACTAGAGATGTTACCTCCACTAGGACTCGCTCACAGGCCCTGGGGCTGGGGCTTGCACGTCGTGGGGGTCCTTGTTGCAATCTCCCAGGAAGAGCACAAGCAGCTTGTAGTGGTCAGAGAGATGGACGGCCCGGAGGGCCTTGCAGTGCAGGCAGCTTTGCCAGACAGCAAAGAGGGCCCAGCACGCTCTGGGTGGACCAGTGACGTGGCAGTCGGCGCTGAGTCCCAGCAGCGGCTCGGACCGCCAGCCCTGGGGGGTTGCTGGAAGGCCACACCTGGAGAGAAGCCTGGGCCTCAATGTGCTGGGCGAAGTCCCCAGCGGTTAGAGTAGGAAGCCAGAAAAGTGCAATTTCAGGGACACTCGGGACAAGAGAGGGCGGGAAAGGAAAAAGGGAGAGGCGTGGAGATGGTCCCAGCATCAGTTCCCGTCAAAATAGCCACGCGTGAATTTTCCGTTTCAAAGACGTGCTCTCCTTGGAAGTCTAGGACAGGTGGCCAGGAGCCAGTGCGTGCCAAGTGGCGCCCGTGGCCCGAGCCCCTCTGAGCAGGCCTGCGGGGGCCCAGCACTGGCAGGTGTTGGAGGGCGCGGCGTGGGCGCGCGCCCAGGGCCTGCAGCCACTAAACAGCAGGGCTGCGGGTGTTCCGATGGTGCGGCCGCCCAGACGACTGTCCTCTCACTCGCTCTTTCGTGCCCTGTTCCAGACCCCAGATGTGGCTACGCGGAGCTGGGGGCTGTGAACAGTCTCCCTCCGCCATTCTCAGTTGCTGTGAGGAGTTCCCATGACTCGCCACGCCCTCCGGTGAATGAGGACCATTCAGCCCATTCAGAAACATGTTGAGCTATAGAATTTCCTGACAATGCTGCACGTGTGATTTCCTTCCATTGTAGTGAAGCCGAAGAATCTCTCTTTTATTTATTTATTTTTGAGGCTTGAGAATTAAATTGATGGGAGATGGGAGTAAATTAAGAAAAGAAAAAGAGAGCAGGAGAGGGGTAAAGAAAGGAGAAAAGTGAACCTTTTACACAGAATCCCATCCCCCATCTGTCTGCTTAGTGAACTTTGTTCATTTCTAGAACCCACTTCACACACTGTTTCCTTCCAGAAACTTCTCTCAATCTTTGGCACTTGTCTTTTGGCACATTGCATAGCAATTTGTTCAAATTTTCTCTCTCTCCTGGTGGACCAGGAGATCACGGAGGCAGCGGCCCGCATTTTGATTACTGGCCCCAGGACAGAGTGCCTCGGGGACTTCAGTAGTGTTGAGAGAGCATTTGCACCAGAGCCTGCAGGGGTTATCTCCAGAAACCCCGCTGTGCCGCTCTGGGAGGAAGCCTGGCACCTGCAGGTGCTCCGAGCTCCGAGCTCCGAGCTCCGAGCTCCTCGCCAAGTGGCCTCTCTGCTTTCCTGAGAACGCGAACCCGAAGGGCCACACACATTCTTTTCTGTAACTGACATCCTTCTCACTGGGAGAGGAGACGTGACTGAGACATAATTTCTGTTCTTCCATGATTAGCCGAAATCATGATTAACCTTTCCGTTCTGTAGCAAGAGGTTGGCAGAGACCAATGGGGACAGTAGATTTCTGAGGCTTGTGTTGGAGAGCTGAGCAAGGCGAAATGTCCCGGATGTCCGCCACCTGTTTGGCCCTCCTTCTGTGGTCACCGATCCGCTAAAGACTCCACGAAGCCAATAGCTCGGTCATTGTTAACATGATTAGCACATACTTTGCACTTTGCACGACCAGCTACCATTCCGTTGACAGCAAGATGGGTGTTGTTTTAACCAGAGTTCTACGTGGTCTTTCGCCGGGGTGCTATTTCAGAAATGGCCGGGCTTCTAGAAGTGGTGAATTTGGGAAGCAAGTGGATAAATGGAGGTGTGACTATAAAAAGGCTGGTTTTCAGAATCACTCACCATTGCTTTGGCTCCAAGGCCTCCCCTGAGCCCTGCTGGGAAAATGCCCCAGAGGGCAATGTATGTGAATGCCAAGTCCACTGTGGACGGCCCTTCTCCCCAGCCCGCGTGGGCTGTCTGGCCTCTCCTAATGGCCTCGAGCGCGGCCGGGCCCAGGCCTGCTAATGAGCAGGCAGGCTCCTCCCTGAACAAATCGGGTCTGCGTGGCCTCCTTTCCCAGCCTCCCTTTCAAGGGCAGGCCGGCGAGAGCAGCCAGTGTTCAGGGAGAGGGGTGCAGCTGAGCCGCCCCAAGGCAGCCTGCAGGGGAGCAGCAAAGCTGGCGGGGGTCGTGCCCTGGAGAGCGTGAGGCTGGACCACCTGCCGGCCCGGCCAGAGCTGGCGGCCGAGACGAGCCCTAGGGTGGGAGTTTCGAGGCCTGAAGGAGCGTGCGGGGGCCCTCAGCAGCTCCCCGAAAGTGCTCTCTGAGGTGTTAGTGGTACCTCAGCACAGCTTACATGTGAGCACTGGAGTCCCTGAAGCCCTCGCTCTAGGGAGCCAGTCGCCGGCGCAGCGGCTGCCTGACACTTTGCTCTGCTTCCCTCTGCCACCCATGCCCGCTGCCAGGCCCGACTCTGCAGTCGCTGCGGTCACAGGCATCTTTGCAGAAGTCAGTGCTCTTGTCTCAGATGTTTTGGAAGCCGCCGCCCTGTTCTCAGGCCTCGTTGCCCCGAAATCCCGAGTTCGAGTTCCTCCCCTCACGCCTGTTTCTTCAGAAGGTGCCGTCCCTCTCCCCAAGCGTGCTCCGGGCGGCAGAGTCAAAAGCCCTTAAATACATGCAGCTACGTTTCCGTGGAAGCCCCTAATTCCACGTCATGAAAGACTCTTCAGTCCCTTTATTAACGTTTCTGCTTTTTAATTTTCGACGCGAGGTAAGACTTGGCTGGGACACAACGAAGCGGCTATGACGATGCCCAAATTAAATGGAATTAATGAAATGAAATGACTGTTTCCACCCTTGCCGGGTGGCAGGGAGAACTTTTACTCTGCCAAATTGCCAAAACCACAAGCGCAGCGTCTAGGGGCATAGCGCAAATGCGAGCTGCTGGGCGGCTCGCGTGTCCCCGCTTCCTTCCGCGAGGCATGGACGAGTCGAGGCAGCGTGCGCGCGCCCTCCGCACCTGAGTCCGAGCGTTCTGCGGAGCCGTCCGAACGCGGCCCCGCGGTGGCGAGCCCTGGAGCCTAACCCAGTCTTGCGTTCTCTTTCCAGATAGCTGATCAGCTTCCTTGGATTTTGCCGATGACCCAGGACAGCTTTGCCTGAAGATGGAAACACTGGAGTCGGAGCTGACCTGCCCTATCTGTCTGGAGCTCTTCGAGGACCCTCTGCTGCTGCCCTGCGCACACAGCCTCTGCTTCAACTGCGCCCACCGCATCCTGGTCTCGCACTGCGCCACCAACGAGCCCGTGGACTCCATCACCGCCTTCCAGTGCCCCACCTGCCGCCATGTCATCACGCTCAGCCAGCGCGGTCTAGACGGGCTCAAGCGCAACGTCACCCTGCAGAACATCATCGATAGGTTCCAGAAAGCCTCTGTGAGTGGGCCCAACTCCCCCAGTGAGACCCGCAGGGAGCGGGCGTTCGACGCCAACACCATGACCTCCGCCGAGAAAGTTCTCTGCCAGTTCTGTGACCAGGACCCGGCCCAGGACGCAGTGAAGACCTGCGTCACTTGCGAAGTGTCCTACTGTGACGAGTGCCTGAAAGCCACTCACCCGAACAAGAAGCCCTTCACGGGTCATCGTCTGATTGAGCCCATTCCCGACTCGCACATCCGGGGGCTGATGTGCCTGGAGCACGAGGACGAGAAGGTGAATATGTACTGTGTGACCGATGACCAGTTAATCTGTGCCTTGTGTAAACTGGTTGGGCGGCACCGAGACCATCAGGTGGCAGCTTTGAGTGAGCGCTATGACAAATTGAAGGTTAGTCCGATCCGCCGTAAGCAATCCCTTTCTGCCAGCCAATGTCATGGAAATAAAAGAATGAAACGGGTATTCGCGGCTAGCTGCGTGGCAGGTGAAGGTTTTCTCTCCACCTCTGGTATCTGCTGAGCTGTAGCATGTTCCTTGGCAGCCTATTAATGTTGCACAATCAGGACATCTTGTAAAAGTTGAGTGCTGCTTGTAATGTTAGCATTGCCGAGGTGAGGGCGAATGCAGAAACCTGGATCATGTTCACTCCTTGCACTTGAGAGCGAGCGAGAACAAGAAGGAAGGGCAGATAAAATCGGGCTCTGGGCACGCGGGGGGCATTTGTTTTCCACGTCCTTGGGGAGCAGCGACTCCGCGGCCGTCATCCCTGTGTTCGGTTGCTGCACAGACAAAGCCGAGGAGGGGGTGCCTGCAGCCTGTGGGGTTCAGGAGGACTGCGACCCTTTACTCCCTGTGGAAGTGATACCGGCTTGTGGGTGAGCGGGCGCCGCGCCCCTAGGCTGGGGTGGGGGGCGCCTGCTGTGTGGGCTGGTGCGCTCAGGTCACAACAGGGCCTTTTGAACTCCACTTTCCACATGAGATGGAGTTAGGAGCTACCCTAAGTGAGGCTTGAGGAGCGGCAGTTAACATAACGCTTCATCAAATTCAAAAGTCACCCTAAATGCGGATAGAGTGACAGGGCAGAAATAAGCCCGGTCGCCAGATGTCTGCTGCACTTCAGGCAACGCTGGGTCTGGTGATTGAAAACTCAGGCGAGAAAGTTTGCTCTGAGGGTGAGGTGCTTTGCTCACCGCTAATTTCAGGTGACAAGATACCACTTAAAAGACAGGGAAGTATAAATTAAGAGCTTTCGGAAAATACATATTGAGTCCTTCCTCTCAGGGAAAACACCTGGGGTGGTGGAGCAAACAAAATGAATCACCCTCGAGCCCCGCCCTCGCCTTGACCAAAAGGTCCCCATCCCCTCCCCCTCGCCTGATGGGCTGGGGTGTGTAGGCCTCGCCATAGGCTGCGGGCGTGACGGCGGGGTTCCCAGATCGCATCTGGGAGTTGAATCTGCTATTTCGTGGCAGGCCAGGGCAGTTGAGTGCCAGGTGAGCCCCTGCTTCCAGGAGTCACCTGGGACCAAAGGCAGCGCCGGGCGCGCGCCTCACTGCAAGTATGTGGCGCGACAGCCCACGCGTCTGGAAGTCTGGGGGCACATGCAGGCCAAGGGCGTGGGGCAGCGACCAGGGCAGACAGAGCCGACGGTTCCTCGCCCACACGCAGCAGTGGCCAAACATACCTCCAAAGGAGGGGCCGCACGCCACGCCGATGCCTCGAGAGCTCACGCTTCCGAAACTGATGTGGCTTGTAAATTGTAGAAAGCAGACAGTTCCCCGGCCCCTGTTCTGATTGGGGACAGAATGTTTGGAATGACTGGACGAGTGGGGGTGTTTTCCCAGATGTAAACCTGCCGGGTTGTTTCTTTCACTTCATCAAAAATGTCCTGTTGATGGAGGAACAGCACACGTGAAACGTGCTTTGCTGAAGCACAGTGTTGTTCCATATTCTCCTCCCCCGGACTGGATGTTTAACCCTGGCGCTGCGGTTCTGGGACGGGCTGCGTGGTGTCACTGAGGAGCCCTGCAGTACGCACGCACCATCTGCAGGGCGGGGGCGGGGGGACATGGTGTCCTGTTCTAGTCCTTTCTGTGATGAAAGTGAACTGCTTCGGTTATGAGCCCCGCACCGTTGCCTCGTGGAGCCGGCGGCCAGCTGTCGAAACTGGCCCTGGGAGGGGATGAGCACAGGCGGTGTCATGCATTTTGGCTTCTAGTTACGGAAATCCAAGCATATAAACGTCTCCCAGTTCACCGGCACACATTTGTTTCCAGCCATTCCACAAAATGTGTTTATGAGCATTTAAGCACGTAACATCCGCACACAGCAGTTTGTTCTAAAACACGCCGCTTTGGTTGGAGTAAAAAGGAGCTCAGAACAGTATATGGCATCTGTGTGTTTGTGTATTTCCGTAATCGAATATGTATGAGCACATGCACTTCCTTTTTTTGTTTTTTTTTTTAGATTATTTTTATTTATGCATGTAAAAGCTGGGGTGTAGGTCTGAGGTGTGGGGGTGAGACAGAGTGGGGAGCGGAACAGGCAGGTCTACTGACATCCATGGCTGAGGGGAGCAGCGGGGAGACAGGAGAGGTCTGCTGCGCCTTGTGGGTCCCTTCCTGGCTGGGGATCGAACTCAGGCCTCAGTGGTTATAGCGCCGAGACTTATCCCCTACACTACCAGGGAAGCCTTCAACATTGATTTTTGAAGTGATCGATCATTCTGGAAAGACTAACACCAATGTAGTATATTTTGTTCATTACTACTTGGGCCGGAAAAAGTACATGTGCTGAGCCCATGTATTTCTGGGAGGCTTCCACACCTCATGTGCAGGTAGGACTGTGATGATGTGGAGACACGAATAAAGTCTGAAGAAATTTGAGGCTGCTTTAATTGACAAGGCAGTAGATTTGCTTTACTTCCTTGGCTGTGCAGACACCTGGAGTCTCCTGATTGAAAATGTTTCTGTCCATCTGTTAGTAAATGTCCATCCTGTGAACAAGGAATTCTGCAGCGATTATGAGGTATATTTCTTGCAGCAATGCTAAACAGTGGGGGACATTTTAGCCCATACCAGGGTTTCAGTATACATTTGTTTGACAAAGAATTGGACTCTACTTTTCTACACTCTGTTTTTTCTAGGCATACAAGGAAAAATTTGTAGTGTGTAGAATTCACGCAAATAAAGCCGTCCACGTCATCTGCAATTGTCAGTAATCAGAGGCTTCCAGCAACTGTGCTGGAAAGCTCTCAGAAAGTACTAAGCAGGGAGAAAATGAAGCCAGCATTTCCTGAACTCTATTTTCAGATGAAAAAGAAACTCTTCCTGCCAAATACATAAGTCTCTAAATGGAGCGGATCCTAACGTGGGCCTTTTTGTATCATTTTAATTGAATTTTTAAGAAACCTTTCCATCCCCAAACTTGGATGACAAGTTTGGCGTGAACCACGTGACATGTAAGCGCATTTAATGTATGCATTCCAGAGTTGTCAAGAAATGACAGCGCAGTCATTCCTTTTTCTTGTGTTCCAGCATACAGTGTTGGCACTCGTGTTTCGTTTCTCTTGTTACACTTACCAAAATACACAAATTGAGAAAAACTGGCTGGCCTTGCCCTTCAGTTGCAGTCGGGCCCCCACTGCACCCAGCTGAAGCTGGTGCCACTGTTGGCTAGTCTGGCTGTGAAGGTTGGCTGAGGGCGTTCCTGTGTCTGAACCGTCTCTGCGGACCACCCCGCCGTCAAGTTGAGCTTGTTTGATGAAGCTTCCGACGAACTTGGGCTTTGCCCTGCAGCCCCCTCTGGAGATGCGGCCATGGGATCACACACGTTACGTTCTCTCTTTCGTTTCATTTCTAGATTTATTTTTCAAGTTTGTACTGTGCTTGCCATTGAGAAAGTTGTAGTAGCTACTGAGGTAGATCCTTGACGGGTGTTCTTTAGAATGTCTTTGAAAATAATAGCGGTGTGGCCCAGGTTCCAGTGAAAGGGGCTTGTAGGTAGGTGTGTGTGTGTGTGTGTGTGTGAGACATTCATGTACTGGTGGAAGGCAGCTATTGCCAGGCTGGGCCTCACCAAGGAGCTCTCTGGCGGCTCGTCAGTACTGCCCGAGCTGAGAAGGCCCACATGTGGTAAGTTAGTATTTATCACCGTCTTGATTTGCTTTGGCTGCTATACCAAGGACTACAAACTGGCCTAAATGACAGAAATGTGTTGTCTCACAGTTCTGGAGACGAGAACCCCAATATCCAGGTCGGGGGCCGCTTCCTTCTAGGGGTAGTGAGGGAAGGAGCCACTCTGTGCCTCTCTCCTTGCGCCTTCGTCCCCAGACTTACTCTTTGTATAAGGGCTGTGGCCATGCTGGGCAAGGGCTCCGTCTCCCCCAGCGGGGTGTCTCAGAGCTAATTATATCTGCTGTGACCCTATTTCCACATAAGGTCACATTCTGAAGTACGGGGCTGAGGGGACTAGACCCCAAGTTGTGAATTTGGAGGGACTGCCATTGAACCCCTAGAATCACTGACTCCAGTTAGGTAGAGACCTTTGCCTCCACTGTGCCCGTCCTCAGCTAAGGCTGGCCCCAGAGGCTTACGGGTAATTAATTCACCATGAGTACTGGCCAGCTGCTTCAGTCATGATCAACTATTAGGTTGAAATTTAAATTCACGAGAGTATCGCAGATCTTCATTCCGATGTGAGACACAGCATTCTGCAAGATCATTTCTAAGTAAGAGCATTGCCAGGAAACCCCTTTGGTTTAATCCAGCTACATAGGAACCAAGACTTCGATCTATATTGGGATTTGTGGGTTTCAATTTCATGGTACGAATTTTGACCCACTAGATTGCAAGTTGTAGAATAATTCACATTCATTTCTGCTGTGTTGTGAAGGACGCTTGGTAGGCCCAGTGTTATACCTCTGGTTTCATTGATCCTCTCATCTACCGTATGTGGCAGATGTTTTCTGAGCCGCCCTGAGCACAGCGAGCTCACATGCTCCTCGTGAAGGAGGCCCATGAGCAGACACTGTCGCCCTTCCTGGAGCTTACAGCCTAGTGGAGAGTTCCAGTAGGGAAATAGTATCTCTGTTGGGAGAGGAGGGAGGCCCCCCCAATCCAGGCAGGGGCCCCAGCCCTGGGCCTGAGAGATGGAGAAAGGTGTGCCTCAAAACGAACCGTTGTACCTGCCTTTCCCGGTTTTGATTTGAAATCACTGTTGCTAAATTACTAGAGGCAGAGAACTTCCCTGAGATAAGTCATCTTTCTTATTTTTACTCCCTAGGGTATCCCTTGTGCAGCCCTGTATGGCTTTTTCAAACAACTTCATAATAATTTCAGGGTAGATTTCAATCTAAAATATAGATAATACCTCGTGACATTTCATGGGGG